CCCGGGACCCCCAAACCCGTCTGTCCCCGCAGTGGCAGAGAAATTCTTTTCCAACGTAGGCAGAAAATTCTTTATGAGAAAACACAAAACTAAAGAATATGGGCTCTGAGGGGAGAGGAGAGATTCTACTGTAAATTAAAAAATGCAATRGGAAAAATAAATCTGTGGAACAACTCATTTCCTCTCCCAGACTGACTTCTGTGTGGTCGGCTGGAAGTGCTCCGATGGAATTTTCAACCTGTGGAGCTATGATGACCTGCCAGATGCTGAGCAGAAAATAATGAGAAAACTCTGTGGATCAGGCGGTGCAGCTCCTCAGCAGTGTCCGAGAGCTCTAGCAGTGCCCAGCATCTCTGGATGGAATCTGAGGGGTCCCGGTGCAGCTCCTCMGCAGTGTCCGAGTGGACGTGGCACTGCCCACCACCCCTGACCAGGCTTTGGAGAGCCCATCAGAGCTTTCTCCCCTCCACCTTGCAGCACATCCCACTCCTTCTTCAAGTCCCCTTCAACCAGGATTGTTTTGGGGAGGTAGGGGCACCCAAAGCCAGCAGAACTGGCCTTAACCACATTTTAGGGATCTTTCCTATTTCCTCGCCGAATTCCCACTGCCAACATCCAGCCTGAGTCTCAGCTCCCAATCCCCTGCCTCAATCTCTCCAAGGAATTTGGCGTGGATTTCCCAAACCAGAAGGGCAGAAATTATGTTCTCCTTATTGTATATCCTATTTGTAATAACCGCTTAAGAAATAATTGAGAGAAATTAAAGGAATGAAGAGAAAATAATAAGAGCTGCCAGCTCCAAGCAAGGGATGCTCAAACCCCTTATAAATGATTTGCTTTAATTAACCAACTCAAAAAAATTAACACCACATTGATACAGTATTATTCTTTTTAATTGAGTTACAGATAAATAATGCAGAATATRAAAGAACCTTTCTGAACCCAGAAACTCTTTTAAGATATATACAGGGCACAGCTATAGACACAGAACCTTGGGATTCAGGGGAAAAAATGAAGTWTTCCATCTTCAGCATCTCCCATTCTGTTGTCATTGGTAGCAAAAATGGCTTCAGCCTCAGGGAGATAGAGAGAGTCAGATTTTACAGATCCTGGTCGCACCTCAGCCTTTCAGCAGGTACAGTCTGACACGGAGAGGGAAGAAAATGGGTAAGGATGGACAGCCCACTCCCAGAAAATCAYCSTAATTCTTAAAGCATTAAGTGGAGCTGTAAGAACTTCCCCAAAGTTTCATTTCCCTGTGGTCTGAGGGCTCAGAGTGGCACTAAACTGAAGCACAGGCTGGATGGACCTGCCACAGACAGACTGTGGAAAYCACAGAAGTAAAACTTACTGGGCCAATTCCATAAAATATTCCAAAASCAGGCTCCTGGGATGTGACCATCTCCCCTCTCACCTGGTGGTGGTAGGATGAGCAATGATCTTCCCTCCAGCAGGTTTTTTGGGGATCTGCAGCAAGCTGCAGCAGAAAATAACCAAAATCCATTTTTTTCCAACAACTGGRACAGAAAAACATGGAAAAAGGACACAGATGCATTCCTGGCATCCATCACCATGGGATCAAGCCCCTGCAAACAATGGAAGCAGAGACTGAGAGACAAAGCTCTTGGGACCAAATCACTGGGGTTTATAAGAAAACGAATGAGTTTTATTTTGGCAATGAAGCTGAGCTGGTATTCACCTCATCATTCTGCTGCAGCAGCATCTGCAGGAACCTGGCCAGGTTCATCCGCCCTGCAGAGCTCCCCCCTTCCTGAGGCTTCTGTGTGGTACAAGGCCATGGCACTGGCCATTAAAATAGTTCCTGCTGATCCCTTCACAAGGCAAGATGGTTTTTCCATACAGCAAATATTTTCTGAATTAAGCAAATAACATCACACTCAATCAGAGAAGAAAAAAGTGAGATCTGACACAWTTTCCTAAGCCAGGCAAAAAACAAAACCAAATCAAAGTAAAACAAAACCYACCAAGTACAATGAAAAAAMMCCMMMAMMAAAMMAAMMAAAWYCCMAAARYMAAMCMAAMCMAWWAAMMAARSYYCCCMMAAAAAMCCCAAACAAAACCCATRAAGAAATAAACCATTTCAGTTTGCATCAAAAAGAACTTCTCATACCACTTTCCCACCATCTTCCACAGTCTACCCTATTCATTTTTTCTCTCTTCAAACAAAAAGTCAMTTCAGCAGTGAAAACTGTGTATTCTGGTGTCCTGAGCAAACACATAAATGCACTCCTCTTCCTCCCCTCAACCCCAAATAAATACAAATTCTGTTCTTAGAATAGAAACACACAAACTCACTTTTCCTGGGCACCTGCAGAATTCTGTCAGCAGCTCAGTGTTGCCTGATGAAAACGCCACAGATTTCCATTTCTGCCTGGATTTTAAATTTTCAATTTTGGATTTTCAATTGCCCTTCTCCAGCTCCTCTGTGCTCTGGCATCTGGAGCGGTTGTTTCCAGTGGGCAAGACAGGGAGGGTTTTTACACACCTCCTCTTACCTTTGGAGCCTTTGGGTCCTGCTGTGTCAGCCCCCCCAGGCCCKGCAAAGCTCCATTTCCATCCACCCTTCCAGGATCTGCCTCACAGCCCCTGAAAAGGCCACTAACCAAACCCCTGCAGCTTTGGTTTGCTTGCTTGTTCCCAGCCCCAAGGTATTTCACTGAAGTAAGGGCTGAAAATCTTCCTCAGAAAGAGAAACAGARGGACCCTGCCCCTCCAAACACAAACTGCCCAGCCACCATCATTTCTGTTCCACCAGTGAACCCACATGGGCCCAGTTATCAGAGGGACCTCCACTGAAACTCCAGTTTTTCTCTCCTGCAGCAATTTCAAGGCCCAGGGAGTGGCTGTGCCCAGATTTACCTAAATCCGACTGCACCGCGCAAAACGTCACTGAGCTCTTGGTGCTGAAGGATGAAATCCTGGAGGTATGTGACCACTCCTGGGAAGAGATGCATCCCCTGCCCTTGGGAAGAGCTCAGGGTACCAGCTAACACCAACTCCATTTCTSCCTGGTGGCCTTTGAGCAGTGACATGAGGCTTTCCTCCAACCCAAAGCTGGAACAGGCTGCCTGGGCTGTGCCAATTCCTCGGCTCAAACACATCAGTCCCATCTTAACTCCAGGGAGGAGAGCAGAAAACTGCTCTGCTCCAGCACCCTCCAGCCTCCAAAACTGCASCAGTTTCCCTGTACGCACCTGGTGACTTGGTGACAGCACAGCATTRCATCAGGAGACTCAGCAGACAACATTCACTACAGACTCTCCATTCTCAGCACTCCAGCTGCAATATTCTCATTTCTCACACTCTMAGTYCTGTTTCCAGGACTCCCATCAGGAAATTGATGGCTATTTCCAGATACAAATCCCTAAGGTGTCACTGTTCCCAGTCACTACTCCTCTCCCCACGCCATCCTTTACCCCTTTTATAGCCACAGCCTCACCCAGGACACAAAAGGAGGCTCCCAGGTGCTTCCTGTGACCCAAATCATTCCAGGTGGGGCAGGATTTTTTTCTTCAAGTTCTGAAATTCATATGCTTGCCTGGAGAAAAGCAACCCTTTCTCACATGTGTACACAGGAGCTGGATCATGGACATGGAACAGATGTCAGAAATCCACCCACACAAGTGCCAGAAGAAATTCAGCTGCTGAGGCTCTTTAGGGAGCCAGCTCTGAACCACAGCTTGCTGCCCTCCATGTGCATGTTTAAATCTAGAGGTGCTGCTTGCCACCAGCAAATCTGGTCCTTTCTCTCAAATGCAGAGTTAAACCATATATTTCAGTTTAACAAAAGCAAGAACTCACTTAGACACCACCTCCAGCTTGGTAAACATTGTGTTATTCACTTCCCACTTGTAACATCAACCAATCTTCAACTAAAGGGCAGTTCATGACTCTCTTCAGATATCCAGAATGAGGTCTATTGCAGCTGAGCAACATTCAAAAACTTGTTAGAGCAGAAACTKCCTCACAAATGACACTGGAGTAATGTAAGCTCCTCTAGCAGGTATGCCAATAACAAAATGTTTTAGTGACCTGAACATAAAAGGATGTAAGAGCCATCACTACAGGCTAAACTGGAGCACTACTTCAAAAGAGGGCACKGGAGGGTAGAAATCTTTCCAAGAGAAACAGTGCCTACCAATGGGGTAGAATGGGGGAATTAATTCTGAGTTTTTGGAGAAAACTTAAAAACTCACAGTGCTGTAGTAAAGTTAAGTGTATTGGGTAATACACAACAAATAAAAAAACCACCAAACCACTTTTTGAGATTGTTTTTGCTTTATACCACAACTGCTTGCTTTTATTGAAAAACACTAGATGGAACACTTACATTGTATGAGAAACACTGACACTTGGGTCAAATGCACAGAAAACCAAACACAACCGAAATATCTGCATTAACATAAAAAAACTGCTGAATCAATTGCTCAAAYATATATCAAGCCCTGCTTAAAGGAGTGCTGCCATCAGCCTTGTTTGGTTTCCTCCCCTCAAAGCTGTAAAACATCTGACATTCAAYATCTCAGGGAAAAACATTTTATCTAATGCTGTTTAAAAAGCCTTTTCTAACATTTAGATGCGAACTTGCAAACAAACCTCACAAACCAACAAACCAACACATATAGTCATTGAATCATTCCTGTCTTTAAGCATGGGCCAAGCTAAGGCTATGAAGACAAGTAAAAACAAGYGAGTTAATGTTGTTCCTTTGGATATTACAGATTCACAGGGGCTTTTTTAATCAGCTTAGGAAAATGCACATCCTGTTCAGTAGATACYGAATAGCAGGGAAGTCAGGAGATAAATGCTTTGCTTTCAGAGACAAAAATTAAAACAAATATTTACATTAAACCAGAAGTCAACAGATTGACTGATCAGAAGTCTTTATTAAGAAAAAMACTCTGGGGGATCCTCTTAGGAGACAGAAGAGGAACACCTGGGCCGGGACTCAGCTTTGGTCAGCACTGCTCCCCCACAGTACAGGCCACCCAAGGCTTTCAGCTCTGTGACAGTCTTTCCAATGTTTCCMCAGATCCCAGGGCATTACAAGGACAAGTTTCACAGTCACCATTCTCCTGCAGCTCCACAGGTATTTCCTTTCAGACTTGCCTGTGCAGAGCAGCCACACGTGACTCAACAGCAGTCAGTCTTGTCTCCAGAGCTTTGAATATGGTATCTATCTGCAAAGTAACCAGGGAAAGGTACTTGGTTACACATGGAATCTGACAATACACAGAGCAAGTGTGGGTGTCAGAAAGGGTTCAAAACTCATCTCACACCACCAATTCCTTTGATTCTTTTCCTGCTACTTTCATAGTTTGAAAGCTCACCCAAYGCTAACATTCACTGTCCACACTTGGTAACTTTTTCCAGCCTTGGTGTCAGAGCCACACACTCAGCTTTTACTGGACAACCATCAGCTTCCACAGTCAACTTCCTTACACTATTTGTTCCCAACTCTCCCTACCTGCAGTCACAAGATTTTAGTAGAGCAAAACATGAACTTGATTTATGATGCAATATTTCAATACAAAGTTACAGCAAAAGCTTTATGTCCATTTGCACAAAAAACAGAAGAGACATGATCAAAAGTTAAGTGAAGATCTGGAGAAGTGAATCAGAACTAAGTAGAAACAACATATCAAATTGCTGAGACATAATTGGGAATCTAATGCTGTGCTTGATAAACAGAAAATGCTATTTACCAWGAAAATTGAAGGAAAAGTTAAAGATAACACAAGATCCCAATGACATGAAGAAGTCCAGTATATGTTACAATGCACTGAATTGCTCTGGGTGAAATAAGCTGTTCTGCAGAAACTATTAAAGCRTATTAAGGTTTTCACAGAGGTGATTTAAACAAAGAATGACATAAGGTTAAACCTTACCCTTTGCAGCAACTCTTCCAAGACAGCTTGACTTTCCAGAGTAAGCGGTTCCTCATCAGTAAGAGCTTGCTTTCCCGGGGTTCCTACAATATAGCTGAGATGCCACAGTTTAGATCATGCACTTCCCACTCCAAAGCCAAAAAAAACAAACACAGCACTCCTCCAGAACCCCGAGAGACAGCCCTGGATTCTGGGGCTACAGGATACAGCGAAAAATCGCACAGACACGGGAATGGTGCAGCACTGRCTGGGAGAAGCAGCATTATTGCCCAAGAAAGTGCCATTCTGTGGCCAGGTTAGTGCTTCAGAGAATCTTAGAAAAAAAAAGTCATAGGAAAAAAAAGAAGTATCATAGCTGTGGAATGCATAAAAAAATCCAAAACAACTGTCCAGAGTGTGAGGGTGGACATCCACAGCGAGACAGCAAAATAAATGGGAACTTTAGAAAAAAACAGAGACATTAAAACTAAACAATCACTGTCTGTTAGAACAATGCTCGCACAAAAAATCTGGAGTGGAGCCTTAATTCAGGATATTGTTATTGAAGAGTATTTAAAGACCATTTTTAAGTGCTATAAACCAATTAAACCCAAGCACACCTTCATTTTCTAGACAGTTTTTAAGATGGCTGAATGAGTATCTCAAGCACATACTCAATTTTCAGATTTGCCTTTGCCCACCTTAGCAAGGACAGAGCAGATGTGGCCAGCACAGGTCAGACCCACCCCCAGTTGTGCCTGAGCCCCTCGGACACCCTTCCTGCTGCTAATGCTGACCCCTAACAGGCTCCAGCCCCAGCCAGGCCTATCTGGTGCTTGGTTTGTGCATCTTCTGATCCACTGAGAAGGAACCCAACTGTGCTGTGTACCTGGTGACATTTTCTCAACTGGAATGCAATTCCTCATACAGAAGGCACATCTGTGGGGTTTTTTTTCCCCAAGGATTTGCCTTACACAAGTGATGTTCCTCAGAGGTGAGGACTATGGTGCCAACAGTAGCAATACAGAAAACCACTCTGGGACAGAGCAGCAGAAACAGCCACAGATATAACAGGAGCACCCTCAGTGCGATGCCTGGTGGGTGAAGTGGAGCTGGGAGGCTGACCCATAAACATTCTGCACTTACCTTTCAACAGAGTCAATGCTAAAACAGAATAAATCTCTCTTGTAGTCAAGATTCTTGGAGGTGCACCTGTAGATGCTCCCAAGTGTCTTTGAGCAGCCAGAGCAGAATAAGGTTTCTACCATGCTGTAAGTAAGAAATAACATTTATTCAGAAGGAAATAAAAGGAAGCCACTCTCCCCAGACCTTTTCTAAAAAAATTCATGCATTAGGATTTTTAGAGCATTCTTGCTTTACACAGTGTAAATTATGAGCACTCATCTTTCACCCTGCATTCACAACAGCTCCTCAGGCTGCCTGACCTCAGCAAGACCAACAGAATCATTAAATCATGGAAGGGACCTTAAAGCTCATCCYATTCCACTCCGTGCCATGGAAAGGGACACCTCCCACTGTCCCAGGGTGCTCCAAKCCCTGTCCAGCCTGGCCTTGGGCACTGCCAGGGATGTGCMCAGTTTCTCTGGGCACCCTGTGCCAGGGCCTCACCTCCCTCACAGGGAAGGATTTCTTCCTAACATTTAATCTACACCTGCCTGCCTTCATCTTAAGGCCGCTCCCCTTGTCTATCACTCCAGGTCTTTGTGAGAACTCCCTCTGCCTTAGGCCATAAGCACTTTGTACATTCCACCCCAAGTAAGTGTTGCAGGGCCTGTGGGGGTCACAGGGCACTCCGGGCCCTTTACCGGGCTTGTCCTCAGCGCCTTCCCCGGCTCCCCCGGGCCGCCCTCACCATCCATACTCGCCGGGCAGCTTGGACACCTTCCGCTCGGGATCCACGGCGACGCTGGCGGCCGCACCTGCGGAGCGAGGGAGGGAAGGAGGGATGGAGGGCCGGCAGGAGCGGGGACAGCTGCCGGGGACAGCCGAGGTGCGGGGCTGGCACTCACTGCGCAGCAGGATGCAGCCGCTCTCCTCGTCATTGAGCACCCAGCTGGAGGTGTCGCCCACGGGCCGCCTGCAGCCGGCGCACATGAACACCATGGGCATGGGGACCGGGCCCGCCCGCCGCTCCAGCTGCTGCTGCTCGGCCTGCCCGCCGCTCGAGTCCAGCAGCGACAGCGACTGCTCCAGCTCCGCGCCCGCCGCCAGCGCGTCCCACCCGCCCGCAGCGCCACCGACAGCGGCCGCCGCCATCGCCCTCGAATAGCCCGCCGAGGAAGCGGCAGTGACGCGGTGCATGGCCCCGGCACCGCCGCCCGATTGGAACTGCGGCCGGAGCCCGCCCTGAGCCCGCCCCGGCACCGCCGCCCGATTGGAACTGCGGCCGGAGCCCGCCCCGAGCCCGCCCCGGCACCGCCGCCCGATTGGAACTGCGGCCAGAGCCCGCCCTGAGCCCGCCCCGGCACCGCCGCCCG